GTTGGCTAAAGTTCCCTTGGAATATATACTTCACAAGTTGTGACCAAATATATCTATATTCATCTGTATGATTCTTTTGTTTCCCTTTGTGTTGGTTGAAATACCAAATTTACAACTCATTCGCTTATTTTTGTTTTATTCAACTGGTTTAACAGTAGTTGTTGTAGTAATATCCATAGGCGTCATACAAAACGTTTAGACTGTAATTTTTAATTTACATTCATAATTGCTTTGTTCAATAGTCAAAATTTATTCTTTTTATGTTTAGCTTGTCTTAAATCATCCCAATCTAAAGTACAAATAATTAATTCATCTTCTCTTTGTAGATCTTTCTCAATTGTAACTTGGCAACTATCGATTTCCTATTTTTTTAGATTTGAAGTTGATAATATGTCTAATGTAATTATTATTACAATTCTGTAGTTTTTTTTTAAGTTCGTGCACTCAATTTTGTGCCGTACACTTTTCGTGGGTTAGTGATTAATAAGTTGAAAAAATGTAATCCTATCATCAGTAAAATAGAACTTGAGATCAGTTCCAGTTCTTCTTATATTTTTGATTGAGATCATGAACCGATTGATGTTAGACCACCTTTTCAAACCTGGAACCACTGGACGGCCGTTTCGTCCTATTGTGGGACTCCTCAGCAGTGCGCATCTACGATCCCGCTCGCGGGATTCGAACACAGGGCCTTCGGTGTCGCGCACGAACGCTTAACCTACTGGACCACTGAGCCGGCATCCAATGGTGATAGTGTCTAATATCAACTAATCCACGAAATTGCGCGACCAACTTCCATTGTACTGAGGTAGATACCTGTCTCTACCCGACATGGATTAGCTCCACTGATCACGGCTTCTCACTAGAACTTCGAAAATTCCCTCACGAAGCTAGTCACTAGTGAGCACATGTTGATTACTAGTATAGGGGTTGTGGAGATTATTACGTTTTTGATTGAGATCATGAACCGATTGATGTTAGACCACCTTTGGAAACATGGAAGCACTTACATTATATCAACACAGCGAAATAAATCGTAAATATAAATTTCAGAGTAGTAGAAATAGTAACTGTATCAGTAGTAGTAGTAGTACAAGACTTTAAGCATAAACAATATGATTTGAGAAAAAATAATGAATTAGTACGATAGAATATATATATAAGTATTTTGAGACAAAAAGTGAATACAGTTTAGCCACTGTAAATTAGTTCCGAGCTATATTGTTGCACATCTCCAATCACTGGTATTAATTAACACGCTCACACTAATCAGGTGGTAGTCTCGATTTACTAACATGGTTTAGATCAACGACTTCATAAACTGATGTATGATAAGTAGTGTAGCAGTCGAATTTATATGCTAACTAGTAATTCCTAGGATTATCCAATCTAAAGAGAAATCAGTGAAGCCACTTGTAAGTATATTTGGAGTTCGAATCAGGCATAGAATAATATACCACGAAACTATTACACACAAACATCACATTATACTAAGTCGTAGTTTAGGTCTCCCACCCTCTATCTACTTTTACATCAGTATACATTGTCAATTGGAGAAGACAGTAGCTAAGCACCACTAACACATGTCATGACTGATAAAGATTAATTGCATATCTTGATATAAATATCCTATATCGTTATTCATTCAATTTACAATTCAGTTATATTACTAGTCTAGTAATGTAATTCATTATCAAATATTTTGTTTTATCTCTATAGATTCATATTCAGAAAATAATCAAATTGACAATCAACTGATGAAAGAATTAACATTGAATGAACGTAATCAAATTTGTTTATTACAAATTATATCTGTATTAGATAAATTAGTTTTTCAATGTTCAGCACAACGTCATCTATATTATTCACCTAGATTAATATAATTAAACAGGAAATTCTTAGATGTTTATTGTTTCATCAAGTGAAGGAATTCCTAGTCATTTACAAATAAAAACGACAGCAACAACAACAAGACTATATGTGTAAAATATGTTTTATTGAATATACATACTTTCCAAAATTGTATTCTCGTTATGTATATACTTTATTAGTTACCTATGAAGAGAAGTAAATATGTACCATTGGTTCAATGAAACTGCTTGATTTATTATTTGATGTAGGCCATTACCTCTAGTGTACATTTTGATAGAAAATGTCGGTTCTACTATACTCATTCTCAATCAAAATGGTAAGTTAATAATTGATAGTTGGTATATATGAAACAATAAATTCATTGGAACATTAGCATGTCGTTAAACTCTTTCATCATTATTTTCTTCTTTATGGTTAGAAAATGAGCTACAATAGACAGTATGGGAAGACTAGAAGTTAAAAAAAAAGGTATAACCGATTCTTTCCCGACGTTATTTAGTATAGGTTCATTGTGAACAAGATTTATTCTGAACGGTGATAGGATGACAATGAGAATTTAGATGAAAACATGTATAAATAACTAAGGAAACAAACGTTCATTAAGCATTTTGATAATAAAAGCAGATAATATTACTTTCTATACTGCACAGCTGGATGAGGATATTCGGAAAAAATCAAGGAACATAATGGAAATAAGTATGATAACTTGAATTAAGCGGAGTATCATGCTGTTCACTTTCTAACCGTTTTCAATGCATGTCCAATGATTATTAGACAAACTTCAAGAAGCTTCTTAGATAATTGTTTATATGAATCGTACTGACATTTTCTAACATGTACTACTAATTTATTTGTACCAGGGTGTGGTGCATTGGAAACTTCACACTATCTGAATGTAGTTTCTGTTTCCAGATTGTCTTTTGTTATTAAATGTAAGTGCATTTGTGCACCTGCTGGATCATCGTGCCCACATTTCCTTTCGTTCTCTCTCTCGACTCTCCCCATCCACGTTAGTCCACGTACCCCACCTAATACACAAAGTGCCCTCCGGCTAAACACAAATCCCAACACAGGGTTTGGTCGTCCCAATCTTAACTATACACATTAGATAGAATTTTATAGAAAATCGAACTCCAATCAACCAGTTGGCAGTAATACAGTAAAACCTAATTGATCACATGGTCCTTCATGACACTATTACAATCTATTTCTTTTTAAATATAATCATGGTCTGGAGGAGTGAACCAATTACTAATAAATAACTTAGTTATTTGATATATTTTTCTCGATACAATGTAATGTCAGTTTCTTAACGTTGACTTGTAGTTAAAATTGATATTGGCTATTAATTCCAATTCACAATTCACAAACAAACCATACAAGTTTTGATGACAAGAATTTAACAGAAATCAATGGAATCTCTTATTTAAGACCGACTTCACAAGAATTCAAACAGGCTAATTGGAGAATAATCATTATTATGAACTGACTTCATTCCATAGAGAAATCATCACCATGTGCGTTTGTGTATCTCTTAGAATTAGGATGAAGCAGTCTCTCTAACTTTTAACCTCCTACATCAGTAAACATAGCGTGTCGAGGTAGAACATATTCGCCTGATCCTTGAGGATAAAGAGTGAATTACGTTCCTCTTTCTACTCGGTGGGATCCAACTATGGAAATTCGTGCACTGCCAGTTTGGCTTCCTATATATATACTCTTGTAAAAAACCATCCAGCCTTATTTCCAATCGGAAATCAAGAAAATGAAATTCCTCGTTCGCCTTTGATTCTAAGGTGAATTGAATTGAGGGCTGACGATTATTGAAACTTCAAAATGTCATTGAGGTCCATATATTCTTCACAAATAATAAAATTATCAAACATTTATCTCTTATATAAATGAAATCTTCCAATTGTTGGTGGAAGAACGGGATTTTTTAGATTGGCCATGAAACAATCAGCCAAGAGGGAAGCCAATGGAGAACCCATTGTAACTCCATCAGTTTGTTTATAGAAATTATCATTAAATCTAAATTACACGTTGAGGGTACATCGTGGAAGTAGTCCTTTTAAGATGGTGGTTGGAGGTAGTCAACCACCATCTAAATCTCAATACATAGTGCCCGCAGTGTCGAGTCACCTAGACTGGTGGCCACATTGCAACATGATCGATAGCATTCGATCTGCACTAATAAGGACTAGACAAGCATGACATTGATCACCACCCAGTGATTAATCAATTGTCATTATGTTTCAGGTTTTTCTCCTTTCTTCTTCACTCTTATTCGATTATTATTGATTCTTTAAAATTATTGTTTTACGATTTTAATGTCTAATCAGTTATTATTATTACCTCATAGAAGTTTGCCTGATTATTATTATTATTATGCCATTTATGTTTGTCGTTTCTTCTTTATATCTGTCAATTGGACCTATAATCTGACTCATAAACGATTTTCTTCCTTACGCTTTGATTAGTACGTAACCTCATTTGTTATTTATCTTCAAATCCATTTTTGTGATGCAATTTTTTCTATCCTCCTATAGACATACATTTTCCATATAGCTACATATACAAGAATGTACAGTTTAAGTAAATGATTTCGTCGAAAAGAAAAATTTCCTCGCTGAATTCTCTTTTTCTTATTCAACAGGATTGATTAATTCAGTTTGAATTGCTAATTGAAAATTGAACAAAACCCTAAGATTCCTAAACTTAACAATCAATGACAGTATTCATGAATTCGAGATCTCTTTAACATAAATTTCAATGCTATCAATAATCTTTAACCTTTTAGAAGTAATGAACATATTATCTTGAATCATTGTATAAATACCGATTTGCTTTGAATATTTCCATGTTGTTTTATTTGTTTCTCTCCGGTGAACTTGATGATAATATAAGCAAATTTATATGAATCTTGACTTGAATAGATCAATGATAACATTTCAAACAATTAAACTGGATGATGCGGATCTGAAACCCTAACCTTAAGATAGCAAGTACGCCATGTCTGTCAAATGTCAACTAACATGAGACCTAGGTCAATCAGTGTTTCTTGTCGATATTACTATCAACTATGTAACATAGAAACTAGATATTATAAGTGAAATGACAATAAAATATACAACGATAGTACTTTTCTTTGTATTTATGAAAAAAGAACAACAAAACAATACAAAAACAAAATAATAACGATAATTAATTTAAACCCTGAGTGAAAGTAGAGCAAAATAGGATAAGTAAATCAATAGCAAATAGGTAGGTAGGTAGGTATATAATCAATTAGAAATTACTGATATTGTTTAACGTATGTTGATTAGATGATTTCCCTTCCAATTTAGTCACTGTACCATTCAAATTACCAATATAAATTCTACTTGTCATATTGATAAACAGGCCAGTATCAACAATACCTTCATAATAATAATGAAATTGGAATCTAGTTAAATATTAATGATATTTGATGAATAAGAAATTAATGAACATAAAACGTTTGATTCTTTATAACTTATGAAATTCTATTGAATAATAAACTGTATTTTAGTAATAGTGTATAGGTAGGTTAATAATTAAAATATTCACTAACTGAAATTTATCTTGAATATAAAGTGATTATTTGATCTGTCAATATTCAAGAACATGTGTGAAGTTGTCATCTAAAAAGAACTTGTCGGTGGATGTGGTTAATCCTGTTTCTAGATGAAGCAGAGTACTTGATTTCATTGGACCAGTGAACTAGGTCAGTCAGTCAGTTACAACGTAGGACCAGGCATATATATGCATCGGTCCAAGTTGTCATACCTCATTCAGTCAGTCAGTAACAACGTAGAACTTCGTACGTACGTACATTAGTTCGAGTTGCCACACCACATTAGCACAGAGATGCACTTGTCGATTCAAATCCCGTAGTGATAGAGGTAATAAGAGTATAAGCAGTAATCGGGAAGATTAGTGTTTGGAGATGTTATTTAAAGAGTATAATCCAGTGAAAGAAATTTGGAAAGAGGAAAAAAGGGACATGAAGAATTCAGAAGATTAGAATTTGGGAGAACACAGAGAGTGGATGCACCTGCGCCATTGCAAACGATTTTGAGCCATGTCATTCAGGGTCTCTAACCATCGGTTGCTGTCATCTCGCGGTCCCCAACCAGGTAGTCTACACCTACCAACATGACTCAGTTCACTTGTCAGTGACTTCATGGATTTGTGCCATGTTTTGGTTTGGCCTCCCCTAGCTTTCTTCCAATCTACTCCTATACCACTGAACATAGCACGTCGAGGCAGTCGGTCGTTGGGCATACGTAACACGTGTCCCAGCCATCTCAACTGATGAAGTTTCACCACTTCATCAATCGATTTGCTATCCTTACCTAGTACCTGTTTCCTAACAACTGCGTTACTTACTCGATGGTACCATGATATACGAGCAATGTTTCGAAGACACCTATGATCAAATACTAGTAACCTACGGATATCCTCTACTCTTACCGGCCATGTTTCACTGCCATAAAGTAGGACGGGACGAACTGCTGCGCAGTAAACACGTCCTTTGGTTGATAGACAGATATCTCGCCTACTCCATAAATGACGCAAGTTGGCAAAAGCTAGTCGAGCCTTCCGTATCCGTGTTGAGATTTCGTCACACACCAAACCACAAGGGCTGATGAGACTTCCAAGATAAGTGAAGCGGTCGACACACTCAACTACTTCACTCCCTATCACTAGTTCGGGTGTCGATGTAACCCAATCCTGAAGCAACATTTTGCATTTCGAGGGAGAGAATCGCATCCCGAACATGCTTGCATTGTTGCTTAGAGTGGTCAGAAGACTCTGCATTTTGTCAGCGTCTTCACCAAATAAAACTATGTCATCAGCATATTCTAAGTCAACAAGTGAACCTCCTGGTAGAAGTTCAACACCTGGAAATTTAGATGAGGAGAGTGTTATCTCTAAAAGTACGTCAATGACAAAGTTGAACAAGAATGGGGAGAGTGGACAGCCCTGACGAACACCACTTGAGGTGATCAATTCTGATGACAGTTCGCCATAAGCTCTCACTCTACCAGTTGTGTTCGAGTAGAGAGCCTTTATAAGGTTAATGTACTTCTTTGGTACTCCTTTCAGTGACAAACACTGCCATAGAACCTCACGATCAACGGAGTCGAATGCCGCCTTAAGGTCGAGAAATACTACCATTGTGGGGCGTCTGAATGTGTGTCTCTGTTCTAGAACCTGACGTAGTGTGAATATCTGATCTATACAACCACGTCCAGGCCGAAAACCAGCCTGGTTTTCTCTAGTCTGCTCTTCACGAGCTTTAGTTAGGCGTCGAAGTATTATTGAGGCTAATATTTTAGACACTATATTAGTCAAACTGATTCCTCTGTGATTGTCACAAGAGGACTTTTGTCCTTTCTTAAAAACTGGCACAATCAGTGATTGAGACCAGTCAGATGGGATTACGTCCAGTTCCCAAATTCTACCTAAGACCTCAGTTAATCTCATTGCTAATACTGGACCACCATCCTTAAAAATCTCAGGAGTAAACCTGTCAGGGCCTGCTGCTATCCCTCGTTTCAGATTTCCTATGGCTTTTTCAACTTCGTAAAGGGACGGAGGACTTACATTAACTTGCCATTCAGGTTGACTGGAGATCGTGGAAACCGAAGTGTGGCTGAAGGCCAGTTGAACTGATCCCTAAAGTGTTCTGCCCATCGATCCAATCTCCTGGATTGAGAATGAATAATATGTCCATCTTTCTCTGAGATTGTTTCGCTAACGGTCGGGTTCCTAATTCCGGTTTCCTTAACGAGTCTAAACAATTGTCTGCTATTACCTATTGCCGCTGCCTTTTCCATCTCTCTTGCTTTCGCTACCCACCACTGTTCGCGATCATTGCGTAGACTTCTTGTCAGCTTGCGCTTAAGCTGACTCCGCTCTTCATTATGTTCAGAGCCAGGTGGAATGAGTTTTCGAGCATCTATCAGTGCGATAGATGCTGCTGAGATCCAGTGTTGCTCCCTAACTTTACGGTTTACCTTACTAGCAGATATCACTGCTGTTTCCACAGCTTTTCGGATATCGTTCCATGCTGCCTCGGGGTGGGCATCACATACATGGCTGCCTAACTGTTTTCCTAGTTGTTCCTGAAATATATTCTTAGCTTGACTATCATTAAGTAGGGCCCTAAGAGGTTTCCTTGCAGGATCTTTCCTACGTCCAGTAAGACGCAAGCAAATACGCGCTCGCACTAGAGCATGATCTGAATCTAGGCATGTGCTCCAGAATGAGCGACAGTCTTCTATCGAGCCCCTCCATCGGTGGCTGATAGCGATGTGATCTATTTGGGTCCAACGTTGGGACGAATTAGGGGGTCGCCATGTTAAAAGATGTTTCTCCTTATGCTTAAAGTTAGTATTTGCAAGGAACAGGCGGTTATCTGAGCATAGCTGCAACAGACGGTCGCCATTATCTGTTTTTTGAGCCACGACACCATAGGATCCACCTAGGTGTCTTTCCTTATCGCTTAGTTTACCTACTTGAGCATTAAAGTCACCGGCCACTATTACTACATCCGAGCGCTTAGCTTTTCGGAGAAGATCCGAAAGCTTTCTGTAAAACTCATCTTTTACATCGTCTGAGCTGCAGTCAGTGGGAGAATAGGCAGAGACGACGAAGAGGCAACGACGAGTGTCCCTATCTTTCCGGATTCTTACTGTTCCGTTCAGTCGGACAGCGCACAAACGACTGTTTACTGGGATCCACTCTAAGAGAGCTAGTTCTGCCCTAGGACTCAATGCTATACCTACGCCGGCGAGGCCACGGGAAGCAGAATCAGGGCTTCCAGATACACGAAGCGTAAATCGAGTCGGTTCTTTATTTTGGCATGGTGAGGTCAAATGAATGACGCTACTCGGATCCTGTATGCGCGTTTCGGAGACGCAGCACACATCGATGGCGCGAGATTCTAAAGTTTTAGCTAAGGAAGCCTGCTGTCCTATTTGGCAAAGTGTTCGTACGTTAAAAGCTCCTACGTGTAGTTTAGAGCGTGGTTTCAGGAGACCAGGAATGGCGTTCCACGTACTCGAATCGTTTGCCCTAGCGGTGCGAGGTGATAAAGAGACGTGAGGAGGGTTAGTCGGGAGGATAAGAGAGGTATTAGGAGGTGTAGGAAGGATTTGAATGTGACCACCTTGGTCTCTTGTGCTGTTACGGGTATGAGGGCTGATGTCACTTCCCGGCTGCCCACACCGTGGAAGGGTATTTCTTGATGAACCTGAAAAGGAAATTGGATTAGTGTTGGTCTTGACGACCTGGGAGCGTGACCGCAGAGCCCGAGGGACAACTGCTTGAGGCCGGTCGCGCACGGCCTTTTTGTGGAAGGTGTTTGACGTGTTAGCTCCGTTCTTCAAGGGGCCTTACCGCCGGAGACGGAAATCCGTGAGGTAAGGTGAGGTGTGCATTTTTAGGGTCGACCTTTTCTAACCCCACCCCTCCTTGTGGGAAGGCAGCATCGCTGTCATGCTGGTTGTCCGAGGGAAACACCTTACTGCTGTCACACCTCTCTACAGTCAGCAGTACGACTTCGCCCTCAGACCTTGAGTTGCTGCTTTTAGTCTTACCGTTCGCCAATCGACCTGCCTGGCATGGTAGAACCTGCAGGAACATATGTTCCAGCCAATATAGCTCGGTTGGGTCATCACGATAGGCAAGCCCGACCACCGCGTCAAGGTAGCAGCTTCGATCGGGTCATACCTCATTAACACAACAAGATGGACACCGGGTTCATAAAAGTAATTAATTCAGAGGTGGTAATATATAAAAGAAAGATTGCAATAAGGATATAGTATAGGAAGAAAGAATTAGTTCGTAGAAAGAAAGATATGAAGCAATTTTAATCTCTTAGTTTAAGGGAAGACAGAGAGTGTATACACCGACGCCATTGTGATCGATTCCAAGCCATGTCACCAAGAGTCTCCAACCATTGGTTACGATAGTCACGCGGACCCCAACCAAGTAGTCTGCATCTACCAACATGGCTCAGACTAGAAGTTAGTGACTTCAGGCACTGATGCCACGTTTTGGTTTGGCCGTCCCTAACTTTCTTCCAACCATCCCGAACACCGGTTAGCATTGCACGTCGTGGTAATCGGTGTTCGGGCATACGTAACACGTGGCCCAACCATCTCAGTCGATGAAGATTCACAACCTCACCAACTGATTTACCATCATTCCCTAATGCTGTAGTGCCAGTATTATATTAACCCCATATATCTTATTCTAGCTTTCGGACATTCCATTCTATTCATTCTACTTGAGTCATATTTTGACTTTGTCAATCATTCGCTTATCAGTCTTGACTGTTTTTATATAAGCGTATATGTGTGTGCCCTTCTTATCCCATTAATACCATTTCTGTAGCTTTACTTTATCTGACTATAAATATTGAGTAACGCTTGACAAAGATGGAGTTGGCTTCCCAGCCATCTTCCCTGCGTGTCATTTTGCTCTACTCTGTTTCAATCGCTTTATATACAAAATATACGTATTCACAAGTCAATTCTCGTTATTCGACTTATTTAATTCCGTTATTGACTAACGCGATCCAAGTCGACGATGATATACGAGAAAAGGCGATAACAATCATTCGTACGATCTTGGAGTCAGATCCATGGGCCACTAAATTGGTAAGCCCTTCAACGAACATCGTCCGATCAAAATGACGGCAAATAAAAGGGCCCCACTAAAATACCCTTCGTCTAACCTCACTATTACTTACACGGCACTTCTCCCCCTCTAAATACAAGCTGCTACTTCAGGACTGGTCTGCGTCAACACCTGAACTAAGGATAGGGAGTGAAGTAGTCGAACGCGTTGACAACTTCACTTATCTTGGAAGTCTGATCAGCCCTAATGGGTTGGTGTCTGACGAAATCTCAGCACGGATTCGAAAAGCTCGCTTGGCTTTTGCCAACTTACGTCACCTATAGTGAACTAGGTGCATAATTCAAGACAGAAATCATTGGACAGTAAGGTAATCAGAAAAGATAAGGATATTAACATGACAATGAAAACGTAGCATGTTCAAATCAAAAATAGATGGGGATCAGTCATTGTGGAATTCACCGATGAAAATCCTTTACTCTATTTAACATGAAAAGGCGCCAGCTATGGTTGATAATGAGATGGTGGAGAAGATTTGTAGCTCAGGTGGATGATTTTGATAGAGCTTTGTTCTCTGAGCTGAATGGTTTGGTTGTGGAGCTTTCATCGTTCTTCTGAACATCATCAAGTAGAAGTGAAGTGTTCGAATTTCTCCACATGTAACTCACAGCTTGTCCTGTAGACTTCAATGTCGATTGGTTCTTGCTGACATTAAACCTGTCATTGTTTACATTGTTTTGATTTTATCATCCATTGGTTTGATCTTTGGTAAACACCAGTGGGGACAATCGAATGTGTTTAACACAAAATTACAGGAGTTGTTAATAAAATCTAACAATCATAAAGTAAATGCTTAATTTGAAAAATGTCCATCAATTGTCTCATAATGACTCAGACTTCATTGTTCTTGCATTTTCATACAAATTGCATTCTGTTTCCATTATTTACTGTCCGATCCTCTTGTCTCTCTGCTGCCAGACCTTCTGTTCACGACTAACATCATATACTGTATATGTCAGTATAAGTAGCACACACCACACTATGTTTGTCCCTGATTTTCCTGATTGGTTGACAAATCAGATCGATTTCAATAAGCTTGTTGATTGCTGATTGACCTGAGTGCTCCACGACCAAATCATTCAGCTCAGAGAACAAAACTCCATCAAAATATGGTTGATCCTAAGCTGTAGCCAAAGAGTGAAAATTCATCATAATTAACCGGTTTATTATTTAAAATAGACAGAATTGTGGTTAACTGTAAAATCCAGTGCGCATTTCGTCCTAGTCGAGACTCGACAACTGGACTTACCCGCACTTCGTTACTGAACTTCACACTGGGATTCGAACCTAGTACCTTTTGCTTCACTGGGCTACCTGAGTCCCACCCACTTATGCAACAGACATTTTATTCCAGTCATTGTTTAGAAACATTTAAATTATCTCGTTGATACTGTTGACTTAATTCTGATCAGTCTTTGTTGGGATATATGCTTCTCGTGCATGTTTTGAATTTCACTGTTATTCACAAATTCATCTGTTTTACAGTAACTTGGGAAAAATGACTATATAGAAGCATTCCGCACGGCATACACATATACTAAAACTGATCATAATTTAGCCAAGATTTCTTTCGACATCCTATCACACATTTTGAGTCCCATCTCAACCTAATACTGTAGTTTCTACAGCTGGGTAGCAAAACAACCCTCACATATAAAGTGCGGTTTACAGCCAATCGATCAGAATCAACTTATATAATGAAAATATATGATAACGGAATGAACAGCTCACTTTACTAAAATAACAAACTAAATAAAAATTAAATTAGAAACCAAATTTTACCAGGTATTTGTGACAGTTGAACATTTACATCTGGCCAATAATATTGTTTAGTTGTGTCGAATTTCCAATCTAATAAAAAGTTTCCATTATCTGTTACAACTGGACCCTGTCATAATTATTTAATGAAAGGAGAATACAAGAATACAAAACAAATTAAAATATTTTGAAATATGTGCATACAACAATAGCTAGGTAAAACGAATAATAATCATTGGATAACAATATATTAAATAAATCTATTCATTACACTCTAAGTGTGATGTTTAATAATACTGGCTATTCAAACCGAAGTAGATGGAGTGAGGTTCGAATCCGATACGTAGTAGCCGAGAATCGAGGATCTTAACCACTAATCTGCATGTTCATTGAATAATATGTTCATCTAAATTGTAACTTGTTTTAATTATAGTTTAGGTAGTAATTAAAATGAAAGCTTTTGATCACATTCAGTAAGTGAATTGAAATATAAACACTTTAATTCGATATACTCTGATACCCTGTACATTCTACACAGCTAAAATGATCAATAATAATCAGGTGTCTATACTAACGACTAACTTCAAAAAGGACTTTTTCGAAGTCCAAATGAGAAATAGTGATTTTTTAATAGTCGAGACATAGTACGAATCGATTGGAGATGATAAAGTGAAATGTCTTACAATTGCGAGAAACATATATTTGACAAAGCAAAACTGGTGGTAGATGAAATTTTATTTGCCCTCCGAAAAAAGATGATAAAACTTGAACAAAATATACTCACTTATAAATGGATTTTACTGTTATACATAATTAGAATGTTATGCTTGAAATCATTACAGCGAATACTGAGTTTTATCCTGAATAAATACCACACTGAATTGAAACTTATTTTTCTCGTCCTAACACAATGGATTCAAACTTAGTGGTCTAAGATTTTATAGCCATTAACACATTTGATAACCCAGTGTCAGGTTTATGGTATTTTTAACGAATCCGGAACCTGGGATAAGCAGCTGTTCATAAATTTTTAAAGTTCCAGTATTCTTTTAACCAGTATCAGTCTGTAATGAAAACTAAGCCCAACATAGAATATTTCGGGTTGAAAAGTTTTTATGGAGGTTGGTTAGATTCAACATTGACTGATCCTAATCGCGGCATCACTTAGAAGGAATTGCTAGACAGCTTCTTTATCTCATCATGGGACTCTTCAACACTCACGACTCCACTAGGGGTCGAACCTAGGACCTTCAGGGTTGTAGGTAAATACTTAACCATTAGGGCCACCGAACCGTTGTCCCATGATACAATTTGAGTTTCAATCAACTTATAATACGGTGGGCTGATCATCTGATGTCGATGGTAACAACTATTACACGATAATTGAAGACTGACTTGCTACGTTATAAACTTTGATTACTACACTTAATTGTTACTGTTGCAAAACCGCGCAAAAAAACAAAGAAATCTAGTCTTTTGAAAACCTAAAGGAGCCCACTAAATCAGCACCGATGGTGAGTAACTTGACTAACTGGCTAAAGAAACAAACACCTACCATCTTTGAAACAGCTTCTCGTAGAATCGCTTGTCCACCAAATAATTTCTGTACTCTTGTTTGTACCGGTTTGAAAGCCATTGGAACTACCTCGATTGGTAAGCCTTTAGTCCAATATGAACCTAGTTTCTTTGAGTGTTTCCTACATTATCCACAAAAGTTGTAATATATAAAAAAAGAAATTATTGTTATTTACATCCTTCTGAAATATTAATTGCCTGAAAACAAACATTGTAGACTGAATTTCCACAAACTTAATATCGACAAGATCCGATCAAATATTTCAGAATATTACGGTTTAGGTTAAGAACTTGTATACCATTGGATCCCAGCTCAATTGTCCAGAGATTAAGCGTCCATGTGAGAGACTGATGCTGGATTCGATCCCCAACCCCAGGGTCGTGGGTAGGCATTAGGACCGAACGGTCATTCAGCGCCTCTAGGTTTTTAATGGTTGTCTGAATTACATCGGTTCGTGACCTCAATAGAATTCAAAAATCTCCACGACTGCAACTGAACTTAGCTGGGCAACTATCGAAAATCACGAAGCAGTAGACAACTGCCCCGTTCTAGTATGGGACGCCCTAGCAGTACTTGTCTACGACCCTACTAGGAATATATATATATATATATATATATATATATATATATATATATATATATATATATATCGATAATTCAGACGGAAAACTCAACGACTTATAATTTAAGTTAGAGCATATATATTATTAAGTAGGTAAACTTGCCGTTCATCGACAATAGCTATAAAATCTTTAGTACAAGAAGCGACAATTTTTTCCTGGAGTAAACAGCCACCGCCGCCTTTGATTAAATGAAGATGTTCATCTACTTCATCTGCCCCGTCGAAAGTTACATCAATCTAATTTTTTGAATAAAGAAGCTAGATATAAATGGAACAAGATATTTTACCTGTTCACATACATCAAGGTCTGTCACTGGCAATTTATGGTTGATCAGAAGTTGTCTGGCCTGTAAAAGACAACTAACTTTTCAAATATGATAATGAATAGTTTTATCATATAATCATATGCTTTGAAAAACATAAACCTTATGAATCTTATTTAGAATGAATGGATTGCAGCTAACAGTAAAATCTAGGACGCGCACCTCATCTCATTTGAGACATGTTAGCTGGATGTGTCTGCACCTCAGTAATCTGAATTCGATCCCTAAGAGTTTAAAAAAAGACTTATGTTTTCAGTATTTTTTATAGACTCGAGGTTCAACTATTCGTTGCCTTGGTTTTTAATATGTTACTATATAATATCGAATCGAACAAATTCCGAACGACCATACATTAGTTAACAACTTACCGAGACCGAAATAGAACCAGAAAATTATTAAGATACAAACGTGTAAATCCCATGTATTAATGGCATACCTGAAATGAAGTTGGTATACACTGAATCTGTAGGTTTTCTTTTTTCACTTTGTCAGCTAAAAAATAGAGCAATTTCAGATTAATTGATATTCGATCAAAATTACCAATATACTCAACAGCGTATTTGATTGTTGTGCCACTTCCAAGTCCAATAATCTGATTATCCTAATAACAAAATATTGGTAGATAAAAGTTTTTAAGAAAGTTAATGTTAACTACTTTAAGCCAATCAGAAATAGCTGAGTTACAAGCTATCTGTTTCGCAGATTCTAAAGCATCTGACTTGGTCATTGTTAAACTTTACTGTTCTGAAAATTACGGGCTAAAATTATTGAAAATCAAAAAGATAGGGAATCTAATAAGTTCCAGTAAACACAAACACAAAATATTATTTATATCGTTTAATGGGAAATAAACTCATAATTATGCAACAAGAATGATAGAACCCATAACTATACAATACTTGTTATTCGTTAACGAACGTATTAATTACTGATGAGTTAGTTCACTTCTGCGACAATTATTAAATTCAATGCACACTGTAAGTTTACGATCGTTTATGTATTCAATATAAAACTAACCATGGAGTAATCTATAGTTTAAAGTTCTCATCGAAGAACCTGAATTAATTTTTAAAGGCGACTTCTAATTAAATTTGTAAGGTAACTTGATAACGAAGTACAAGTTCATGTACACTTAGAGTAGCATGTTTTGTATGAGTTGACAGCAGTACATGTCTGCTCAAACTGACATGCGATCCAGTGGTTGCAAGTTGACTGTTAATGACACTGATTGTTGAACTGAGTTGTTTGGTCGACACCAATAAGCCAGTTGGAGTCCATGAAATGACTGCAATCAGTGGTTGCAGATGTTAGGTAACATAGCTTAAAATTGGTCATAGCAGTGAAAATGTATTCGCTTTTAGTTTTCCCTTAATTTTTCTGGGCTTCAATATTATTTTGTTCCTTAAGATCAGTTTTTTATTTCAAACCGGATTTTCCAATGTTTAGTCTTTCTCATCATCAATAGTGCTACCATTACTTTAACTCCTATATTTTTGTTGAATTTGTGCCACGATCTACCTTATGACTGACCGTTAATGTTCACCCGACTTAAACTTTTGAGAACTATAGATACATACAGAGGAACATAAAAAGCAGACGGAATAGTTCGATATCTGATATTTTAAAATTTATTTCATCTTGAATTTATGTCTAATATGAAAATTTAATGATTTCTTTACCAACAACTACTATAAATTAAATGGCCACTGGTTTTTTACTATAGGATAATGGTAGTAACCGGAGGAATCGAAAAAAATAAACCTAGATATACCTGGTAATATTTTTTATACAAATTTTCTCCAAACTTTGCTTATGTATGAATACCTCATTAGTTAGTTTTTAAGATGAATGGACGTGAAAAACGCTTCAAAACAACAGCAAGTTTTTATAAGCAAGTACGTCCAAATACCGAACGAATAAGATATCTCATCATTTTCCTAAATTTCTTAAGATGACAAAAACAAGAAACTTCAGTCTTCAGAGAAACCTTGGATAATATACAATAGTATTAGCCTTCAACTGAAGTGTTAGGGAAGTGTATACGTAGATGTACGTAATGGTGTATTGATTACGTCCCAATTAACAAAAGCATGTAAATTACACAATATTGTTATATTAGTAAATGTTTACCACCCTCAAATGCCCTGGTACGTCGAGAGTGGGGAGAGTTCGCTTTTCCTCTCGAAATGCTTTCACATGGCCACGCGTATATAGCCTCTACCAGGGAAGTCCTACTCACTGCCTTCACGTGGCGACGGTGTTGTTTACGGAATTGAGGGGACAAAAAGCGAATGTCCGGCGCTTTAACCGGGTTGGTGGATACGGAGAGTTCACATAGGGGAATCGGAAAACCCTGATTCCAGACCAATGGTGCACATGGGATCCAGTATCCTGAGGGGACAAATGGCGTATGAAACAATCGTCGATCACCGGCTACCATGGGACGGTATCTCTTTACGTTGCTCTACTGCCTTGTGGATCAGACCTGCGGGTCGATGGCTCCGGGTGTGGCCCCCTAAGAAAACCACCTGCTTCGGCCTGGGCACCCGGGCAGTATCACAGCCCTTACACATATCAAATGAGAATTGTGTGGCGCATGTGTATTTGGTGCCTTCTTGTACCAATATCTTTGTGTTAAAATAAATAAATAAAGATGTTTGCCACTAGGCGAAATAGATAGCACAGGACTTACTGTTTTGAAATCAATTGTTTACTCAATCTGAAGCAATGGTTTATTTTTCTAAGCACTCAACTTCCGTTTTAAACTTCTGTTTCTTTTCGCGTATTCAGAGATTTGGTTTATATTTAATCTCAAGGAAAAAGTACTCGACTATGAATTGCAAATTTTGTTTGTAAATAGTACGACTGTCACTATATAACACTACAATTTAAGGTGGGTGGGGTGAAACTCAAGTTTAAGAACCATATTATGCCAAACCTACTTAAGATATGCTTCATTTCCTTATATTTACCCTTATCGTTTTTACAACAGAAATACTCAGTGACCAGTTTACGATGAAATAATTTTCATCGCTTAAGTTCCAGGGCGGTTAATAATAATAACTTAACGGTTTCTATCAGAGAGCAGAATATTTTCACAACTTTCAGTAAACTTATCAGGAACACAGGTAAATACTGAATTTCGTCATCAAAACATACTTATAACTAATACACAAAAAGACAAGCGCAAAAATAATTTTTGTAGGACTTTAGTCACATTATTTTGGATCTGTGAATACAGAAGTTGGAGACTTAAATTTAAGTTGGTAGTTTACGCATCTGTGAACACATGAGCAGAAAGACTGAAGTGAAAATGGTTTATGATTCTTTTTTAATCATGTCATACCAAAATATGGCAAATAATAATTCTTGAAGGAAAAATGTCAACAAGTATAAAATTACAGAAGCACAACATATTTACATGAAACAGTATTTATAATTGTATGAAACATAATATTTGTCAGTGAAGTATTGTGTAACACACAGCCACGAAGACTTATGTTAGTCATTTTACTGTTGGGAATGATAAGCTAACTAGGATTAGATATCTTGAACTGGCAATTGATATTAAAGTTTTTCAGGATCTTCTCGCAAAATCACATGTCATGAGGGGAAGAAACGCAACAAAGTTGTCTCAAGATGCAGGTCCGCCGCCTATTGTTAAAAAGAGACGAACCCACAATAAAGGGTGTTATCAGGCCTTGAAGCTTACAGCAGATAAACAAGAGGCCCTCCGGAGACATTACCTTATCATCAAGAAGCTATTGTTTTGACAGCATTTTAAATAGATTTTGTGGAACAACGTATTTTGGACAGCTATCAAAATAGTGGCCTATAACAGTTTGCAGGTAGCAGGAATTTATCTAATACGTGTTTTGTGGAAGCACCTATCGAAGTTATCGCATTGCATCCCATACCTGGAAGTTTCATGTTATCCTACAACAACAATTACTATGGAAGGATCTTTAACGCTATAAATATGAGAACCTATATGTAAAGCCAACCAAAAAATGAAAGAGAAAACCCTTCAGTAGAAAGACGAAAAGTCAAACCCTCCTGAAAAAAGACCAAAAATAGATCAACTTTAACCAACGGCATACAGAGTAACACTTGATGAGTAAAACGGGACGAAAACTGTACGAATAAAAAACGTGAAGAAATAGTACTTCCTTTCAAAAAATGAGAGCTTAAAGTGGTATGTAGCTTTTGATTTGGATAATCACACGTAGATAGTATAGAGCTGGTAGGAAGACAAAAAAACATCGAGCACTATTTTTAACTGAACTAAAAGACGATTCCAGAAGTATTTCTTTGTCGAGCTGCTTAACATCACAAACTCATCTAGCCACCACCTAAAGAACTGATAGGCCAAGAATGGTTGCCGAAATGTCTTTCCTGGTGTGAGTTATTAATCAGAACAATAAACATAACTATTCGCCATAGACACCTATGAAACATACCAGACGTCAGGAGACAACATAACGAATACGAATGACGGAGTACATCTACATTCTGTAACGGCCGCTACACTTGAGACCAATCTCCAATGTCTAATATCTGATATTTTTATTATGATCTAGTGTAATCCAGATAGTTTTTTTACTTTTGTTTCCACCTTTTTAGATACAGCTCCCGGTCTTTTCGATGATATAGCAACCTGATTACAACAGCTTTCAAAAGTGAATTGTTTCGGTGAATTTGCATTTTCAGAAATTTTGAGTAAATGAGTTTTATCCCTGTGTAATGTGGTTTCCTAGAACAATAGGCTTCCATATTACTTAGAAGAACGTTACTTGTTGACAGCATTAGATATGGGAAACTTTCGATCGGAATAATTGGGTCCGTATTTGCTCTTTGAAATGCAACTTTTCAGCGAAGAGGGAGTTATTGACTGTTCTCTGCGATTTTCAAATCCATCTGCAAACCAAGAATGATAGGTGGCTAGATAGCTTGTTTTCCTCCTCTTGATTTGGATCCTCAATGTGATTTACCTTTTTAATCCATCATCAGATAGCCTTAACCACTTGTATCCCAATGGTTAGCGATTTACTGAGAAAGCCGGTAGCCAATTTATAAGTTACTGATTTTGATGTTGTGAACATTTTGACGTTTCGCCACTAGTCTTCTGTTCTGGGAAATAAGAAAAAGGGGAGCTTGTCAGATGTAAACCTATTATTAGGCAGTTAGAAGAGTATTGTTAGGTTACCTCTGTTCCTTCTATTTGACGTTCGGGAATATATTTAGTTTATCTCAACTCCCATCATAAAGAGACTCAAAGATTCCAAAAATCAATTTAGTTACGGCTCTTTAAACCTTCTTTGACATCTTGGTGATTTGTAGATACTTGGCGTTCGAATGCATCTGAAAACTTTTATCAGCCATCATACGATAATTCTGTGGTTTCTGACCCCTGACTGATAATGACTCCCAGGTCACTAGTTTTCTGAACAGTTAGTAGATCGGCATTGCTGACTGTGTATGTGTCTGTACCTTGATGGTCAATGTCCACCATAATGCACTTGAAAAAACTCAATACCAATCACCGAATTCTAGACCGCTTTACAGACTTCTGCATTTTTTTCGTGAAGCTCTGGACAGTTTTTTGTCTTGTGTTAGGAGCATATGACACAAACAATGACGACACAGCACTAGTAGGATTATTTACGTGGCAGAGCAACTGTACGGATCACAAGACTACATTCTGCAGCACTCCGAAGAACTCCACTATCAGCCAGATAGCACTCAATTTTCTGAAGATCAGACCTATAAGGTTTTTGTGATTCGTTTACGTTAACCAAATCTTACATTCTGATCAAAAGAAACTTTGTGTAGTAATTCCTGGGGTTAAACTAATGGAGTATGTGCTTCTGTGAATAGTCTCCTTAAATCTGTGAGCAATGTGTTTGTACTGCTAAATACCTCGTACTTTCAATGCCCCTAAACTAAGGATCTCAAGAAGTGCTGCTTTGAAAGGGGTGTTATTCGAGGGACTCTGCAGTTGACTGGTCCAGAAGACATCCTTTGTGACTCTTAGAGTTCGGAGTTCCTAAAATGTTTTTCCGATCTCACAGATGTTGAGGTTTGTGAAGTGATTCAACTTTTCAAGGAACAATCCGGTTGCTAGACATCAATGAACTAAGTCAACCCTCTATTTCTCATAAGTAGAGGCTCCCACCACTTAGGTATTCTTGACATATAAATGTTGGATATTTATTTGCATTCATATGCACACAATCAGTTTTTTGACAGTGGAACCTGGGACTAGTGGGAATTGGAGAACTGCGAGACGAAAAATAGTAAGGGAACGGGAGCTGCTCAACCTAAAGTCTATCTATAGGTCGATTTTGGGCTTAGTAATTTAAAGATCTTATGTGGTTGAAACATGGACAAAAATTCTTGCACCTCCTAACACGTTTCTAAAACCTATTCTTCAAACTGGTAAGAGTAGGGAGAACCAAAGATTTTACAAGGAATTCAAGGTTTATTTCCAATAAACATAGGATACATCCTTTCCACAAATAATATGTCACAGGAAGTCCACAATTTGTTCTCACTAATTAATAATATGAAAACGTTCAGATATTGTTTAACTTCAATCAAGATCAACGTAACCCGGAACAGAACAACTCAACAAAATGGAGCAACATGCCTTATAAATCTAGATCCGATATGAATGAACAACTGTAAGGAGTTTCAACACTGCATCTTCATCAACAAATTACATGAAACAAGGAGTCCGTTGCAAAGTTTATTAAATACAAGTCATTTGTCCATGCTTCATAAATCTAGTCCACCTGAAAATATGGATGAACTACGCAAAATAACGACAGGACAAACAAAACATGGACATCCTCTTAGTTTACTAGCCAGGAACTGACCATATCGAGCGTATCCCTGTTTCGTCATGACTAAAAAGCTAGAGCAAGAATTAGTGTGGCTCATTACATCCTCACTCTCAATCGGTGAATTTTGAAAGTTTTTTGAGGTTAACCAGGGTCGATAATGCCCGATGTGAATCATACAAGTAATTTGACATCCGTGCTCTCAAGAACCATGGAAAAAATCATCCACAAACAGCTATAATCATTTTTACTTTCGGCTAGTCTGATCAGCCCATCCCAACACGGGTTTATGACTAAACGCTCATGTTTCACATCGCACCTAGAGTTTTTTGATCAAATTACCCAGAGAAGAGATGTTGGTCAGTCAGTGATAATTCTTTACTTCGATTTTAGTAAGGCTTTCGACAGTGTCTCACACAAACTTCTTTTAAAACTCTCTTCATTTGGCACACAGAATCCCCTTTTGTCTTGGCTCAAATCTTTTTTAGAAGAACGTAGCCAAATCGTTCGCTTTGGATCTTGCTACTCTAAACCTGTAAATGTAACCAGTGGGGTTATACAAGGAAGTGTGGTTGGTCCATTGCTCTTTCTCCTTTTTATCAATGATGTGTGTTCCCTCTTTCAGTATGGTAAGCTTTTCCTTTTTGCTGATGACCTGAAAGTAGTTTATTCATTCTCTTCTCCCACTAAAGAAAGCTATATTTCAGCGGTAATCCAAGAGGAAATAAACAAGTTGTACGAATGGACTGTTTCGTGGAATTTGCCACTTAATGTTGACAAAAGTGGATTTATTCACATTGGTCGCTGCCTTAACTTAGATCTGACTGTACACACACATACATTCAAACCTCTCAACACTGTTCGTGACCTGGGTTTAAGATATAGCAACAGTCTGAACTTTTCTGTGCACATTATATCTCGAGTATCCGAAGCTAGAAAGCGGATCGGATTGATAATGCTAAACTTTAATAATATCGAATCGAGATTGTTATTATACAGAAAATATATCTTACCCATTCTTGAATATGGTAGTTTAGTTTACAGTAATTGCAGACATAATGACCTGATTAAAATTGAAGGTGTTCAAAGAAAGTTCAATAAAGCTGTTCTGGGGTATTCTGATAACAAAGACTATCACAAAGATGTCAACAACTCAACTTAGAACCTCTTTGGATCAGACGTATCGAATTAAATCTTGTCTGTTTCTACTGGCTTATTAACGGTATTTCCTACTCTTCGGTATCCACCCTTACATACCTTATGATATCATCCCACAATCTACGCAATAATGAGAATATTCTAGCGATCCCAAGAGCCCACACAAACTTACGTCAGAATTTTTTCCTTATTCGCTACTCAACCATGTGGAACAGACTGCCAGTTAACCTCCGTTGCAGTGAAACTACAACCCGGTTCAAAAGTCTCCTTGATGATTTTCTTTCCGAAAGTGGATTATTTCACCTATTGAATATCAATGTATTCAACAATGATTTATACAAACAAGGTCCGTCATCCATTTAATTACCTGAAAAGCAAAATAAAACCTTTAAATCGTTTCACGTCTATTTTATTTTATTTCTATTTATCTTAATATATGAAGTCTGCTTATGTTCGTATCTATAATTAATACTGTTATTAATATCATTATTGTTCCCCCGACACATTAGATATCCCGTTTATATCTTCTTATCCTTCTAAACATATTTAATTCCTGACTGTCCTTTGAAATTAATTGTGACTTCCATAGCATCATTCTTAATTATTATTGCACAAATATTTATACTGATATCCGGTTTCACTCTGTATACTATTACATAAATCTAAATGTATTCATCCGAGTGCATTAAAGGATTTTTATTGTATTTTTCTCAGTTGTTGGTTTCCTTCTGAGGTTGATATTCATTATGCAATTATTATTCTTATCATGGATGAAACTTTTCACTAAGTGTTCACTTCTTTTCTCCCTCTTCTTTTCCTTCTAAATAAATATTATTTTTAAGATTATGGAGTTTGTAATTAAGACAACTTGTGTTAGACTTAAATTAATTTCTCAGACCCGTTTTATCTTCACTATGCATATATCACTCATACATATTGATATTTCTTTATCCTTTTCACTCAATTGAGACTTTCATCGCATCACTCCAAACTATGACTGCACAAACATTTATTCTGGCGTCACATCTTACTACAATAATAAGTTGTTTTTTCTTAATTATTTTTTATTACTAATTTGACGATATATATGTATAGTCGTTCGTTCTTGTTTTATGTTCATAAACACGCCAATTAAACTGTTTGCGTATTTCACGTCTCTCTTATTTCAAACTCTCCATCCCTTAAGAAGAACCTTCAGTTCATGTTTTTAGATCTGATTCCCTCCGTTTAACTCGTGGCGTACAGTCGGTAGGATTTTCAATGTATCCACCGTGTTCTCACTGGCTCATAGACGTTAACTGGCGGATAGCGTCCAGATTATTGGCCACAAATGTGCAATACCTGCTCTCCGTATTTCACGCGTACTACCGGACTATCTTAGAATCCGTTCAGAAGTGAGTCCTATCAAATATGTGCGGAAGATTTCTACTCAAAAACCCACCTATTCTGGCTGTTAATCCCAATCTAGGCACAGCTGCAGGTTTTATAAGCGCAACCTTTAACCTTATTATAGAGCGAAACAATG